GAAGAGGAGGCGCAGACAGAAGGTTAGTACTGACAACAATGAGAGAAAAATAGTGGAGTCAAAGGGTCCAGGGAAGCCCTAAGTGAGATATCAGACTTGAGTGTACTTCTCCTTACTAGTGAACAGGCAGCCCAGGAGAGTTTAAAGATATTTGAAGATGAAGAAACTTTCTTTCTTGATAAAAGTTTCTGAGGAAACTGGAGGGGATGAGATTGAGCGCAGGTAAAACTCAAGAGAAGCCAATAAGAGTAAATAATTTCACCAGTTGGAAACTAGGAGATTAAGGTAGCTATCCCTGAGATAGCTCTTGTCTCTGTTGCCCAAGAACACAGGCTGAAGTGTATGAGAAGTGAAAAAAAGGTCATTGGGTTTGGAAATTGAAAGGTCTCCTGTGACCTCTGCAAGGGCAGCTTTAGTGCTTCATGAGCCAGCATGAGTAACCAGAGCACTAGACTGATGGTCCTAAGACTGGAGTCCTACCTTCCAGATAAGCTTTTCACTGAACTAGTTTTTCATTAATGGAGGCAATTTTGGGGGACTTACTTCCCAGCAATGAAGGAGTTGGATGAAATAATAGCTAAGGTTGTTTTAAGACCTTTGACCACCTAATAAAGTTCTCAATGTGAGAAATCTGAGAAAAGAATGAGTAGGAGTCTTACTAAGTGGGCAAATTGGTATTAATTTGAACAATAAGGGTATATTCTAAGTCTGTCTCTTTGGATGTTTATCACAACATCTAGATGGAAACTTGTGATTGCACATGTTATATTGTTTAAGACAAAAGAGATTCTGCCAACTCCTGAACTAGAGGAACAGAAAATACAGGCACACATGATGAAGACTATAGAAATTTGACACAGAAATGATGTGTTTATTATGTTGTCTGATACATCTTTCCATCAGCATGTTCATTATAAATCCACTCTTTTGTTCTACCCTATTCACTAGCTGTCTGTTTGTACATTGATTTTTACACCTCCCACCACAAAGCTTAAAAACATTGACAAGCATCTTCTCATTCTCTAAAATGATACGGAATGAGGAGGAGGACATTTCTAATGTTGCTTCATAAACATGCTCACATAGTTAATTTGTTCAGTTACAAGTCTTTTATATCTTGTCACGTCCTTTATACTGATGTCTAAGCTGAATATAGCTCTGATTAGATTTAAAATCTAACAATTAAGCCCTCTGTAGAAGAGATATGTTGGGAGTATGGATTATAAGTTCCAGAAGTGTGACCATACCATTTCAACCTATCCTTACAAAAACCAAACTACCTACCATCAGGAACTAACTAGTTCTCTATTGTGGTAAATTTGTTTATGGCCATGACTTCCTTTCTCCCAAAAGTCCCTCCTTCTCTGTGCAATGTCTCTGAGTTCCTCCCTAAGTGGATGGAATGACTTCCTTCTTTTACTTCATACACAGAATTGTGTTGAGTGACAGGCATGTAGACAGCCAGCTGATGCAGAGTTTAGAGTTCAGCAGGCCTCATTGTAAGCCCTTCTCCTGTTACTTATTTGCTATGTAATATTTATCAAATAATAATTTATCAAATAATTAATTAATCGAAAGCTCAAGTTATTCCTCTGTAAAAGAAAGAGTAATAAAACCCACGAGGGCCTCCCTGGTGGTACAAGGGGTTAAAATGCAACCTATGAAGCTATCCGTAGCCACTGTAGCATGAGTTCGATCCCTGGCCAGGGAGCTACTCACATGTTGCAGCAGAACTCTCCTGACTCACCCGCTGCTCCCCTCAGCAGTGTATTTCAGTCAGTCTGCCTGTTCTGTTCCCCACTCTGTCTCTGGTGAATCCTCTCACCCCACACCTCTGAACTGTACCTCAGTTCTTATATGCATAAATAAATAAATCTTTAAAAAAAAAAAACTCACCAGGTCTACAACGTGGGGTTACTGTGAAGAAAAAGTCGACATAAGAGCATTTCATAGTCTACTCCATACTTGACTTGTTGGTGGGGGGAAGAGGCGGCGGGGTGCAGGGAGGAAGAAGGGGAGACCAATGTACACAACCTGAGTGCTGTCCACCCAAAGCAGCCAAGACTTCTCCTCCTGACCTGGTACTACATGAGTCAGGAAGCCTTCACAGCCTCAGCTCTGCCTGAACCATACTCTTCCTTGGAGCAAGACCTCATGTGAACATCCTTTCAAAGTGAATGGATGCACCTTATATTCAGGTGTTTCGGGGCAGGGCTGGCTGAAATTCAAGCTCAGGCATTTTTTTTTTTTTTTTTTTTTTTTGGTATTTTTTTGGGGAGGGACTGGGAGTTCAAATCACTCTTCTGGAGTCTTATTTTTCAGACTTACAAAAGTCAGAAAGGTAGTTATTTCAAACAAATTTTTATTCTCTAAATAACAGAACAGACACTATTCAACAAGGAATTTTAGGTGTTCAAATTAAAAAAAAAAAATTTAAATAGTTCTCTAAATGACCAAAGGACTCCTGTATTTGTTTAATGTTCTTAATAAGCCAATGCATAACTCCATCAATCACGTTTTGGGATGTCATAGGAGGTAAACCTACTGCAAGAGCAGTAGAGCAGAACAGAGTATGTTTTGGAATATTTTCACCCAAAAAGCCATACTTGGTAATTTTGTTTTAACCTGAGAGGCTTCAATTAAAACTTCTGAAAAAAATTTTCAAATATTCTAGACACAGAAAACTATCCTCTTAGTCAAATTACAATTCTAGTGATAGGCATCAATTTCCTGGTAAGACAAGATGGGTTCTGATTATTTATCTATCATTGCAGTAAAATAAGCTGAGCCATCACAAATCTAGAAAACAGCACCCATTATCATCAAAGTGAATTGTTCTGCTTTGAGTACATCTAACTTCCGAAGACAGAGCTATTGCCTCATTAATCAATGTTTATTAAAAAATGTATTCTAGGGGCCTCCCCTGGTGGCGCAGCGGTTGAGCACTGGGCTGCAAAGCTGTCCGCAGCCTCTGCAGCACCGGTTCCATCCCCGGCCACCAGCAAGGGTCCCACATGGCCGACCTCTCCTGTCTCACTCGCTGCTCCCCTCAGTGGTGTATTTCGTCAGTCTGCCTGTTTTCTTCCCTGCTCTGGCTCTGGTGAATTCTCTCACCCTCCCGCGCTTCTGACTGTATCCAGTGCTTGTATAAATAAATAAATAAATCTTAAAAAAAAATGTATTCTAGGTAAACCTTTTCTTATAAATAATGAGATATCTTATGATACCACATACAGCATCCATTTACTTTTTTAATGAGTGCTTTTAAATTATTTTATTGAGATAACATTGGTTTACAAAACTGTATACATTTTAGGGATATAGCTTTACATATTTTCAAGTGTATGTTATTATATCACACCCACTACCAAAGCACCAATAACCTCCCCATAGTTTAACAAGTATTTCTGTTTTTCCAAATTTCATTTTCATCATATGATTTAAAATGAATGGTTTTCAGTTGTAAACAACTGTCACATACATTACATGATTTGATTCTCAGATTACATGTCCTATTTTGTAGAAGAGGAATCCAGGTCAAGGCACATGACTGGCACAAAATAGGTACCTACTGAGTAAATGAATATGTCAATCAATGAATTGATTTTAACTGACAGGTCCAAGTTTGAACACTTAAAAAGATCAGACATGAGACTATGACTTTGGTCCACTGTCTTTACATTGCATCACACCACCTCTGTTTTTGTTAAGACAAAAAATGTTAAGCTAAGTATCACATTTAATACAAATTTCAAGTATCTGATGACACATCTCAAGCTCATGTGGAAATGTTTATTCCAGATTCTAAGGAAATGTACTGAAATGGTGCTCATTGTGATTAAGACCTAGATATCCTCTTGTCTTGCTTTTTCCCGTGGATATGCTCCAAATAAAGTTTAAAATTAAAATTTCAAAACAGACTGTTCTCTTGTTCCATTCTGGAATTTTCTCATTGTTGAGAATCCTAGTAAAGTTCATGTAGCTATGCAAAGGTAGGCTCAGGAAGAATAGGGAAGAATGTAACTTGGCAACCAGTATTGTAGAAATCATACAAATACGTTATATAGATTGTGAGTCCCTTCTTCAGTAAGATATGGTGTAAAAAGGAAAATACAACAATCACAGAATAAAGAGATTTCACTGTCCTTACCACAGAGCAATGTTTCTTTAAAAATCCAAAGGCTCCAATGAGAAAACCCCTTTGCCAAGTTATTGCTAACCCTCAGACTATAATATTACGATACTGGGCATAGAGATAACAAAATATAAAGCTGACAATGAATATTAGCTGCCATTGGAGAAGGCAGAAGCCCAGGTTTCGGCCCTTTCAATATTTTAAGTATAATTACAATGCAAGTTCTAGGCAGATATCTAAATGGAAAAGGATACAACCTTATTGCTATTACTTTTTTTTACAAAATAATAACCCATTTTCTCCTGCATGAAGATCAGGTAAAGTCAAAGAGCCCCACACTATCTGATGAGACTACACCTTAATGTACATAACTCCAAGCATTTCTCATTTATTGACTGGCATTTAAAAATAAAGAAGATTTTACCCTTTGAAAGGAAAGAGAGTCAAAGCCTGTGTGTGTTATATTCATTTTTAGACCAACAGAAAGAGCAAATCAGTTCTCAAGTTTGTATTTTACACACATTTATATACCCAGAGTAAGGATTAAGAGCACGAGTCAATTCCTGAGACAGTTACCAGGATCACCTGAGAATGAAGGAAGCATGATAGGACTCACTCCAGGCCTGGCAACAAACTCATCAAAACCCTAAAAAACCCTTTATTTTTCCCTATAGTCACCAAATAAGCTGGATCTATTGCAATACAGTGGAACAAGTGAGTTATGCCACTTTTGTCATTGAGTTGTTATTAAAATCATTCAGGGGCAAAAATATATGACTTCCTAATTTTGCCAAAGAATTTATAAAAGTAGTATCCTCCATTCCACCTACCCTGCCCCAATAAAATGCAGAGAAGCACTACGTACCTCCATCACTCATTTCCATGTGAAGATGCTCTGAGGACCACAATGCCTTGGACTATGCACACATTTTCAGTGTTCCTCCATATGAGGTCAAATTTTGCTGAGAAAACGCCTAAAAATCGGAGACTTATATGTTCTCCAACTGCAAAACCTTGAGCAGCTGCCTACATCAGATATGTGCAGGCTTGTGGCAAATGAATTAAAAGATAAAGGCAAGTCCAAAATTGATCCTTGCTTCCATATGGAGTCTTCTTCCCACAAAAGGGAGGGAAAGAAAGAAGGAGGGAGAGAGGGTGGGAGGGAGGGGGGGGAGGGAGAGAGAGAGAGAGAGAGAGAGAGAGAGAGAGAAAATGATATTAACATTATGTTTAATTCTGGTTCATCTTTAATTTTTAACAAGTAAATGTCATGTCTCAAAATTGGGAATATTAATTTTTATAGGTCAAAATAGAGCCTAAGTCATAACACTTTTAACTAAAACAAGTGTAAAATATGTTATGACATAATATAACAAAATTTTAAAAGAAACTTACTCAGGTGATAAATTATAATAGCAATTGAACTGTTTGACTAATTGAAAATTCAGCAGAAAAAAATGTTTAATGCTTATTGCATAGTTATACACTTCAGAAATTCCTACTCTGTTATCCTCCTTAATAAAGGCAGCATACTGAAACTGCTCTGTGACAAGTTTACATAGCTCACAGGGAAAGTAGAGAGAAAGAACTCATGATGAGTACTGTACATTTGTTGTGAGAATTTCAACGAGAAGCAGAGGATATCCATCAAACTCAAAAGGAGTGAGGGTGAGTAGCATTTTCCAAAGAAGATAAATGAAAGGCCAACAGGTACATGAAAAGATGCTCAAAAAAATATCACTAGTCATTAGGGAGATGTAAATTAAAATCACAGTGATATATCACCTTATACCTGCTAGGACAACCATCCTCAAAAGGATAACAGATAACAAACACTGATGTGGATGTAGCAAAAATGAGCCCTTGTACACTACTGGTGGGAATATAAATCAGTGCCACCACTATGAAAAACAGTATGGAGAACCCTCAAAAAAATTAGAAATAGAACTATCATATGATTCAGCAATTCTACTTCTAGGTATATAAAGGAATGAAAACACTAACTTGAAAATATACCTGAACTTCCATGTTCACAATAGCATTTTTTACAGTAACCATTCATAGAAACAACTTAAGTGTCCATCAGTAGATGAATGAATAAAGAGACTGTGGTATACATATACAATTAAATATTATTCAGTCACAAAAAGCAAGGGAATCTTACCATTTGCAACCAGATAGATGTATGTTAAAGGCATTATGCTAAGTGAAATAAGGCAAACAGAGAAAGACAAATAATTAGATTTCACATATGAAATCTAAAACAAAACAAAACTCACAGGAAAAATAAGAGCAGACTTGTTACCAGGGGGAGAGGTGTCAAGAAAAGCGAATTGAAACAAGAGAGTCAAGAGATCCAAACTTCTAGTAAAAATATAAGTACACGGAGCATGATCCCTTCCAGCTCCATCCATGTTGCTGCAAATTGCATGAGTTTATCTTTTTTGAATGCTGAGTAGTATTCCATTGTGTATATGTACCACATCTTCTTGATCCAGTCATCTATTTTGGGGCATTTGGGTTGTTTCCATACCTTAGCTATTGTAAACAGTGCTGCTATAAACATAGCGGTGCAGGTGCCCTTTTGATTAATGATTCTGTGTCCTCTGGGTAAATATCTAGGAGTGGAATTGCTGGATCATATGGAAGCTGCATCTTTAGCAGGTTAAGGAATCTCCACATAGCTTTCCATAGTGACTGGGCCAGTTTGCACCCCCACCAGCAGTACAGGAGAGTTCCTTTTGTCTGCATCCTCGCCAACATTTGTTGTTGCTAGTTTTTTAAATGTGTGCCATTCTCACTGATGTATCTCATTGTGGTTTTGATTTGCATTTCCCTGATTACAAGTGATGCTGAACATTTTTTCATATGCCTGTTAGCCTTTCACATTTCCTCTTTGGAGAAGTTCCTTTTTAGCTCTTCTGCCCATTTTTTTTTTTTTTTTAAAGATTTATTTATTTATTTATTTATTTATACATACAAACACTGGGTACAGTCAGAAGCGCAGGAGGGTGAGAGAATTCACCAGAGTCAGAACAGGGAGCAGAACAGGCAGAAGGCCCAAAGTACACTGCTGAGGGGAGCAGCAGGCATCAGGAGAAGTCTGCGCGCCATGTGGGACCCTCCTCCGGTGGCTGGGGAGCAGCCGGGGATCGAACCGGCGCTGCAGAGGCTGCGGGCAGCTTCGCAACCCAGCGCTCAACCGCTGTGCCACAGGGGAGGCCCACTTCTGCCCATTTTTTGACTGGATTATTTACTTTGTTTTTGTTGAGTCTCTTCAGCTCTCTGTAGATTTTTGTGATCAGTCCTTTATCATGCTCAGCGAAATAAGCCAGAAAGAAAAAGGAAAATACCAGATGGTCTCACTCATAGCAGGAATTTAGAAAACCTAAATAAGGGACCAGGAAAAATCCTAATTATAATAAAGTAAAAATCAAAAGCAACAAGCAACTATAAACCAAAGACACACTATGGGGGGTGGGAGAGAAGGAGGGATTAGGGTCAAAATAAGGGAGGTGGGAATTGTATGGGGAACATAACCAAGATGAAAATGCATACACTGTGCGAAAATTACGTAAAAAATATATTAAATTAAAAATTATAATAAAATAAAATAAAAAAATAATTTAAAAATATAAGTACATACTAGGGATGTAATGCACAGAAAGACTATAGCTAATACTGTAGAATGATATAAGGTAAAGTTGATAAAAGAGTAAATCCTAAGAGTCTTATCACAAGGAGTTCCCATTACCTTTTTTTCTTTTCTCTTTATTGTATCTATATGAAAATTAGACATTAGCTAACCAATGTGGCAATCGCTTCACAATTCATCCTAATCAAACCATCATGTTGTATGCATTAAAATGATATGATAGTATATGTCACCTATTTTTCAGTAAAAACTATTCTTTTAAAAGAGGGTGAAGTATGGAGAGAGGGTCTCTATGCTTTTAAGACAATAATTCTTAACCCATTACTTCTTAAATTACCTTATAAAATATGAATCCTTTCCCTCCCAAATTATATACACAAATGATGTAAGACCTCGAAGAAGAAGTCCTCCCCATTGGACAGAACTTGACAAGATGGTATATGTAGGGAGGAATGGTGAAGAGAATGTTTTGAAATGTTAAATAAAGTTTCTTCTTTTTTTTAAGGTTTATTTATTTATTTATTTATTTGTTTGTTTATTTATACAAGCATTAGGTACAGTCAGAAGCGCTGGAGGGTGAGAGAATTCACCAGAGCCAGAGCGGAGAGCAGAACACGCAGAATGACAAAATACACTGCTGAGGGGAGCAGTGGGCGGCAGGAGAGGTCTGTGTACCATGTGGGACCCTCGCCCGTTGGCCGGGTATCGAACCGGCGCTGCAGAGGCTGCGGGCAGCTTCGCAACCTGGCGCTCAACCACTGCGCCACTGGGGAGGCCCAGAATAAGTTTCTTAAAACAGAACATGATTCCGAGGTATCAGTCTTAAGGATTGTCATCTATTCATGTGTGAGAGACAGAGATGGGGAAGACCTGACTTGCACAGTAGAGGGTACCTACAGAAGAAATGACAGGCAATGGGGATGACTTGTGAAGGAAATTTACAGGAAGCACAGATGGAAATGAATGGTCTTAATACCCCAACTCAAACCCAGGTCGGAAATCTGAAAGGACCTGGCATCCCACATTTTATTGGAACTGGATGGGGTGTGAGAGATGGGTTGCACCTCTCAGTTTCCTGTCTAACTTTCAATGCTTCCTTGGAGAAGATGGCTAGAAGTGAGATTTAACAATTCAGAGTTTTAGCCTTAGGATGGTATAAATAGAGACCAAGAGTTCATATCAGCATTTTCACATTCTTTCTATTCCCTTAGGGCTATCCCCACCACCACCCCCCACTCCCCATCCCCGTCAGTCAGATGACTATCATGGCACCTTCTTTAAAAAAAAAAAAGATTTATTTATTAATTCATACAAGCACTGGGTACAGCCAGAAGTGTGGGAGGGTGAGAGGATTCACTAGAGCCAGAGCAGGGAGCAGAACAAGCAGAAGGACCAAAGTACACTGCTGAAGGGAGCAGCGGGCATGGCAGGAGAGGTCTGTGCTCCATGAGGGACACTCGCTGGTGGCCAGGGAGTGAACGAGCGCTGCAGAGGCTGCGGCAGCCTCGCAGCCCAGCACTCAATGGCTGCGCCACCAGGGGAGGCCCTATCATGGCACCTTTTATAAAACTGGTTTTCATTCGCCAACTTGTCTTCTTCGAAGTCTATGGAAGATACATCAGGTTTCCCTTTTTGATACCTGACAGGCATGGAAAGGGAGTTTAGAAGATTAGTGGCTAAGAGGATGGCCTTAATTGGGGAGATGTTGAAGAGAGAGACTTCAAAGGAGGTGCGTGCTTTTTCCTGCATTACAAATGTTTCTTACTCCAGTGTAGTAAGAATCAAAAGAGAGTTCTCACTACCTTAGAATTCCATGTGCTTTCTCATCTACTCTACTTCTTGTAGAATCATCACCAGTCTTCTCCACTATCTCCTTTCTTCATATATACCTTTACAGTCATTGGGTATATTCGCCTGGGCAAAGCACTGAGTTTTATGCTGAAGGCAGCATATCAAAATATCTTTAGTGTAAAGAGGCCATGACAGCAATGAGGAAATACAAAGTCCAACAGCAATGAGGAAACAGAAAGTTCTGGGGATGGAGTAAGAAGGCATGAGTGTAAATTCTAGCAATTCCATTTAGGAATTACACAATTTAGGACAAGATATCTACCATGATTACCTCAATTTTCTCACCTATACAGTGGGGATAATAATACATACTTCAGAAGAATTTTATGACAATTAAATGAGATTATGTCAAGGTGCTTATGAAATTGGAAAACCCCAAGATATGCGATAAGGCACATGGAGCCAAAAAAGTCCAAAGAGAATGGTTCAGATATTCATAGATGAGAGCACAACCCTCACCACATGTTACAGCTAACACTTTCCTTATGCTTTCACTACTATAACAGATATAGAAAGACACGAAATCACAGCTCCATGTAAATAGTCCCAGAATTTCTTCTCAGGTAAAGTAGGCCAACAGTCTGCTCAACAGTACTTTATAAATTAC